AAACGTTGACAGAAAAGCAGCGATAAAAGAAAGCACGAAAAAGGCACACATGTGACGACGTAATCTTGTCATTACATTCAAAAGAACGGGAGAAAAAGAGTTTAAAATATCCGGAACAATCCAAGGAAAGGGGAAGTACATCAAAATAACAACTTTACGACAGTCGCAGGGTTTCCTAAGTATATGCTTTCATTATGGAGGAATATCAAAACCGTGACTGCTTTTTTATTAAAACGTCGAAGTTTCTACCAAATCTACGACTTTACAGATCCAGAAGCTCCGGATACCATTTTGTTTATGGACTGGAATGTTTGGTTACGTTTGCGTTTCCCAGAGGCTAACTGATCTCTTTTGAGACCTCGGCTTTATTATTAGGTGTAGGTTTTTGATTGAATTGTATTTTACTTTTAGAGGGCCACAAGTTTGTATGTAATTTTAATTACTGTTGAGTGTTACCCTCATAAAATAAAGTTTCTTACTTACATTCATGGCCTCGATTTCCCAGAGCCCTCGCATCACAAAAAGTAAGGTTCTGGGCTCGAGACTGCTCTCCTTTCCTTCATCATGCCATAAGATTGAACACGATCACACGTGACGGAGGAATTTTGAAGTCTGGTTTTGAAATCTTTCTTAGATGGCGTTATTTTTCGTCGCGTTAGAAATTTGTTGGTGTCGCGGAATCAATTCCCTAGACCGTGACAAAAAATGGTAATAAAAAACATTCACAAAGGTCAAAGTAGGCTGAATTATGTTCAGCACGATTACGTAGCACGGCAGGCCTTGTCCATGCCGCGCGGTATTAGCACGACTTGGCCTCAAACGGCGTGCTCTTGCCGTGCCCAACTGAATTCACAGCTTACTGCATCGGCTGCCGCTGCTTTCTACCATTTCAAATGGCCTTCAGCAAAGCAAACTTCTTCCGATCTTCCGCGACTGGACGAAATTCGACGTTTGAAACCACTGCCGCTCTTTTGTCATGTCACTGCTGGGCCAAATTCATTTGAGTTTGGCACGGCATCAGCACGACGTTTGGCCTTACAACCTTCGATCTATACTTACCCAATCACTCCCGACTGTCTATATAACGAGTTTAATTGGCAAGCAAAAAAAAAAGGGCGTGGTTAAAACAAATCAGCGCTTAAGAATATTGTCATCTTCAAACTGTACTCCACAAATAAAGTTTAAGATATAACGCAAGAGGATCCTTAACTTTTTGTTTCGCATTGAAACAACAACTCACAGGGTTGCTCTAATTGGTGAATAGAGCTCCCGACTATTCGAAGCTCGCGTTTGGATGCGATTCTCTCTTAGAAATGGATTAATTAAGTTTAATCAAGTTTCTCCGGGGTCACTTGGTTAAGGAAAGATAATGCTGTCATCACAATATTAGGGTTTAGAGTCTTTTCATTAGAATAGAGTCTGGGTATTCCATGCTGTCCAACAAGAGCGCCGCGCGAGCGTGAGACACTCGCGACCAGGGCTTAAGACCAGAGCACGAACAGGGTTATCTATCGTTTTTAACCAGGCTTGAGCAAGATTTTGATGACGTGTCTGTCAATTTATTTTCCGAGATTGGGGCCAGCTAGAAAAGACAGGACAAAGGCAGACAGAGAATTTAAATCCCCTGCGAGATTCGAGAAATGCCAAACCACCTTTTGTCTTACGATTCTTTCAGCAGATGGTCTCCAGACTAAGAGAACCAAAGGCTCTGAGACTAGAGCTGTGACCATTATTGTTCCCGGAGCCCATGTGTGTGTCAGCCGACGGAGCCTAAGCATATAAGAAAGAAAGGCTCGCCTGGATGGGTTTGGTTATTTGCACATAACTTCCTTTAGATGGTTTGGCTTTGTTTATAACACTGTGGGATTTCTCGGCAACGATTTCTGTAAATGGTCAGTGTAGTTCTCTTTGCAACATAGGAAATGTGCATGATAAATCACGTTCCATGATCCTCCTTTGGCGCTTCCACCTTGCTTTGCCGCCTCGCCTTTTCGGTAATTTAGTCAGGTATTTCCCAGTCGTCTGTCCTTGGAGTAATATGAGCGTGTCGCTTGCCTGTTGGTTCGGTTCGCGCGAGTGTGACAACAGTACAAGAGAGGGTTGTATTGCTGCCGTATTGAAAGACAGATCAGACACAGGTTTTAGCTCGTGAATGCAAACGAGTTGCGCACGAGTTTATTCCTTTCAAAATAAAGTCGAAGTTTTGTAGTTTTGCTTTTCACAAAACCTGAGCATTGCGCCCAAGCGCTTGGCTGCGAGACAGCCCCTGTTCCCCTCCGAATAAGACCAATAATACAAGTTCATCTTTATATTTATATACAAGCCGAGGAGATAACGACTATGCGGCTTAGAAAGCTGCGAGGCAATATAGGCAAGGCGGTTTCTCAGGGGAGCGATAACCCGCCAAACGTCTGGCCCGGAATTATTGATTTAATGGACACGAAATACACAGCGAGTCTACGAGATGGACATTTCAATATTCAGGATGATAAGTTTCCGAAACGTGCCACGAAATCTTCCAGTTGCAATGACAATTTCGTTCAAACGGTTTCTGAAGTACAGTTTCACGTCTCCTTACCGGCTGGCAAACTCTTTCAGTAGGGAAACGATTTAACGGAGAGAGAAAGAGAGGCGGCATAAAATTGGCGTACTTCAATGCTCCCCATTTCTGTCAAAACGTGTGAATTTCCTTTTATACCATGCGCTCTGTGATTTTCACGAAAGATTCAACATTGAACATAATAATAAATGACATCAGATTTCGAGTGTTGCTTGACTATTTTGGTATCTCCACTTTCCGACCGGTTTGATCACGGTATATATCGTCATACAATAGCTTCTTTTGGTCATGTTCCCATTTCAACTTTTAGGTAAAAATTCTCGTTTGCCGAGGGAAACTGTTTCCTTTCTCTTGGGACCGCTTCCCTTTCTATGGACAAGACAACATGCGGCGTTTGTCACGCTCTCACCTCGCGTGTTTTATTTCTGATGTATCCCTCGTTATGATCACATAAGCCATCAGTTTAGTCAGCTCAAGACAAGTCATAAGAACTACAGGAAATGAAAGAAAATTTACAAGGACTCATGAACAATGAGATGCATTTTTAGCATCTTTTTTAAATTTCTCTTATTATATTCTTCTTGTTGAATTATTTGCCTGCAAAATTTTGTTGTTGTCATTTTCGGAAACAATTTTCTTTAGTGGGGAGGGATGTAAGTTTATAATGCCAACTTATAAACAACTTAGTAACCTTTATTATTACGTCTGTATTCCCGGCATTGCTTGTTATTTAGGAAGTGATTTTCTTCGTGAGGGAGTGCTTTAAACGGAGCACTGACCACGATGAGTTGAGCTTTTATTGGCTCTTTGTTTTTTCGGAGGGGGCGGGAGGCATTTTCTATAATGAGCTTTATCTTCAGAGCTTTACCCAAGGAAACCCGCCATGTTCCTGGTTTTATTCTTCGCCAATCAGGTGAAGTTAACTTGGCATCTGCATCTTTTCTTGCGTGCGGCACCCATTCGTTCAGTTCAAGTCGTGAATACTGGTGATTTAACATTGGTCCATTTCGCTTTTTGTTTTCTGGGTTACTTTGGGTTAAGCTTGACAGCAATAAACCGTCGCTACAAATAATTGTACAACAACAAAACAAAACAAAAACACGCATGAGAGAAAAACTTCAAAATTGCCGGGAAACGGTAACTGCCTTGGACGATATTGAGCCACCTGTACACACAACTTGTTTGGCAGAAAAGGCACTTCGTTCTTCAATTCAACGACCTCTAATAACAAACATTACATCGTTAGTAATTTGGGGGAACACTTTCATAACATCAAGTATATTTGAAAAAAATCTGCAATGCAGCAGCTTCCATTTTTTTTTTCAAAATAAAAATTGAATAACGTAAACTTACTTATACAAGTACCTTTAAAATTGTCTAAATGTACAAATTGTATGGATTAGCATAACTTCCAGTATACGCAAATGATGTTTGGAGAACTTGAACGAAACGAAAAACTAAATCACTCTTTCTCTCAAATGGGTAATTAGGGTATGTGATTACCGCAGAATTTTTCGTTTTGAGGAAAGCGTTAGTTGACGATTAATCGTAAAAACCTTTCACACCTTTGATCATAACAATCTTAATATATTCAAACCATGGAAACGTAAGTAAAAACACCATATCTTCGGCCGGACTGCGAGCAAGAGCTTGTCTTAAATTGTTGAATACAAGGAGATACGAGGACACTCCGCCAATCAACAGCTTAAGCACTTACTCCAGATAACACACAGGCGGTCCCGTTTGTGTGAATAATTTTCATTCGGTGAAGTTTACGATCGCGATATAAAATCAAGTGGAATTTTACTGTTACGCCGAACCATACAAAACGAACTGGACAGCATCTTGAGAAGTGATCGGAAACAAACGCCAAAGAAAGGTGAGCACATTATATAAGACTCTTTCATGTAAAAAGATTACAGTAATAATTTGATTTTGCTTGCATATAAATAGGTCAGTTATTTTAACAATGGCTGAACATAGTACCAAGGAAGTCAGAGACGTGCTGAAGCGCATCGAAGATCACCAGAACGTTGTCGGGGTAATCATTGCGGATAGAGACGGACAAGCACTCCACAGTACTTTGGATGCAATGGAAACAAGTTACTATATCCAGCACTGTACTGCGTTGACAGCTATCGCTAGAAGTACGATAAGAGAGACTGATCCGACGGATGATATACAGTTCTTCCGGATACGAACAAAGAAATACGAAATAATGCTGGCACCAGAGCACGATTATTTACTTATCGTTCTACAGAATACCACAAAAACGGTGGGAAAATTTCCCTGAGCCGGGTAGCAACACGGTAAAACATTTGGGAACCAAGTTCTGTATGTATCTGTTAGTAAAATGTTTAAATTATTAAATCGCAAAGAAACACGAGGAATTAATTTCGAATTTTGATTCCAATAATTCGGACAGGATGTAACTTCGTAACACAGTATGTTATTCGGTTTATTACACTGTTCAAACGACGTTTTGCTGTGTTTAGTTTTGAAGATTGTTGTGAATAACAGTGGAAGAAAGTTTGACTTTATTTGCTTCAATACATTGTCGCTACAAACCAAGCAGGTGCAAGCGGTATTTTCGTTTTCTTCATCAATATTAATTATCGTCTTTGTATGAAAAAAAAAAAGCTCACACCGTACAAACTTGTGGTCTGAAAGCGCGCAGCATCTTCACCGATGAACATTACCGCCGCAGCAGTACACACAACACATTTTCTACATTTATTAAAAAAAAATCCTATGAAAGATTTGCGAACAATTTGTGAGACTGGCGTAACTCGGTTATTAAATTTGCATGACAATGGTTTTCTTTAAATTTCTTAATACTGTGTAAAAAAGACTCATTTTTTCAATACATTAAAACAAGTAAGTGGACTGTGGCCGTTTTCAAGCGAACGCTGTTGTACTATTTTCATGCTGTAGAAGGGAGTGTACAGGAAAACCTTCACTGCGCGTGGATGAGAGTCGTTCAAAATTATATTATCATCTTGGCACAGTTTTCAACCCAGGGGTCAAACGGTTAAATGAAAAAGTCCCAACGAAGCGGTTTCTCTGATTTTTTGTCTTGTTCTTCGGACGAATGCTCTGTCTTGGGCGGTTCTTCAAAGGTACCTGAAGGTGTTACAAAAAAATGAAAAAAATATCACATTCGAGTATTACTAACAACAACAGCGCTCAAGGTGCAGAAGGTTACAGTGGCTTGCAAGATGTGAACTTTTCAAGTAAACTTTGCTTTAGAAATTTGCTTATTTAAGTGCAGTGATATTTTAGCTACGTGATTCTCGCAAAAAAAGCAAGGAAGCTTTCCTAAGGGCGGCGAAATACGAAATACAAAACCCCTCAACTTGTCGCCCAACATTTTTTCGTTGCAAGTTTCGGGTCGATGTTTCGCGTTTTTCACCTTGCGTGATCAACTTGTCGCAGAAAATTGCTGCGAAAAGTAGAGTTGCTCGTTTTTCATCAAACTCACAACTTGTCACGCAACAAATTTGCTCACGCTCAAGCAAATCAACCAATCAGCGCGCTGCATTTCAACCCGCAACAAATGTTTTTGTTGCGCGTCAAGTTGATCACGCAAGGTGAAAATCGCGAAACATCAACCCAAACTTGCGACGAAACAATGTTGCGCGACAAGTTGAGGGTTTTTGTATCTCCTATTTCGCCGCCTTAAGGCGACCATGTCACACCACATGATTATGACGTACGTTTCACGCAATACTGTTGCGTTACGTAGTACTTTCATAAACTCGTTGTCTCGCAAACTCACTAAATTGATCGTGAGAAAACACCGGCCCTGAGGGACATTTCCTTGTCACGTCATGGCAAGCAACTTCATTTATTTTGCACGATTTGTTCACTGCATGATGAAAAGGCCTTCGAAACATGGTCATGAAACCTGCTCCCACAACAAGGGAGTAACATGAATTAAACTTACGCGAAAATACCCCATACGGTATTAAAATACTCGCAGGATTCCAAACAAACCCATCTCTTCCTGGCCACAGACGCAGCTCAGGAATATTAAACTCACCATACTAATTCCCTACATACGGGGGATTTCAGCGTGAGGATCCGTTAACAAGCTCCAGTCGGTACCTATGCAAAAGCCGATTCTTCTTCTATGCTCTAACTCTTTCTTCTCCTCGAGGTCCGCCCACCGAACCTGAAGAATATAAGAAGGTCACATCTTCAAAGGCCCCGACACACCCACCCACAAAATGCCCCTACGTACGAATGTAGCCTCGTGCGCTCACACGCATGCACTCACAAGTATTGAGTAAATCATTCATGGGTAATGTCGATCTTTTACTGGTCTTTGCTACATTTACACATGTTTTTAGCCTGTTACTACGTATATATGCGTTGTTACCCTCTCCACCGTATCACATAACCACAGAAAGAAGGCCCGTAAAAATAATATTCTGACTGCTCACCCTCTTCTTGCCAATGCGCATGTCTTCTTCGCGTTCGTCGTATGGGTCATCATCATCGCTGAGAGGGAATGGGGGCGACTCCTCTCTCCTCCTCTTGCCCTTCAGTGGTCGGATGCCGTCAAGTTTATCTGCGATGAAGTTAAAACCAGCACTTCACTAAAATTAAAATCTTAAACCAGAGGTCAAACTGGCTAATTCCTAAAGAAACTGTCATGATCTCCTTCGAGCTCTAAAATTGCCCTTAAAATCTAAAATGAATTTACTTACTGCTGTTAAATTGTTACGTTGAATTTCTTCCCTTTTATTGATTTACCTACACCTACTAACATGGCCAGCGCGGATAAAATGGATACACGTATCAATTTTATCGCAGCCGTGCGAACCATAGCAGCATCTGTTACAGAATATGAGACAAATCGAGAGACTGGATTCACGACTCAGCGCATGTGCAAGCTATAAAGTTACCCATTTCATTCCACTGTTTTATGAAACAATCGAAAGCAAATTGGTAACTTTCAACAGGAATTTTCCTTGGAAAATTTCGAAGGCAATCGCGAAACGCGGCGTTGTAAGAGATATATCTCAAAATTGCTAGGTACGTTGCCATCCACCACTCAGTTCAGTTGTTTATGGATTAATAATTCAACATCCTCTGCATAAACAAGTTGGTCGCCCGGCGAAATTTTGGCATCACTTAAAAATCTGCTTCCACAAATTATAAACTGTGATTGGCGAAGTACATGTGGTTCAGGCACAATAACTTGCACATGTCCTTTTAACATCATTAGACGACACCTTTGATTGCACTTCTTCGCTTCGTTATCAGAGGAAACAAGAAGTAAAACTGTTGCAGAGTTGACGCTCTCCTTTCAACCTACCTTTCTAATTTTCTGTTCACTCAGGAACTCGCGAGGGATAACAAAACAATATCTGACGACAGCATGCTGACGACAGCATGCTAACGACCTTTTCACACTCGCGCTCCGGTGATGCCATAATAATAAGCTTCCCAACCACATATTTACCAACTCTTTTTCCATAGAAAAAAAGAGTCTTGCAAACAGTATTTCCGAAATTACCGGCCCCGTGAAAACGTTACAAAGTATTTTTCATGAGCAAGAAACTATGATGACATCAACCAGACGTGAAACTATGCCGTGGTCAGTAAATGAAAACATGTGGAGAATTTCTCTTTCTTTCAGTGAAAGAAAGAGATTTTTTTGTTTTCCGCATTTCTGCACTTAATAATTCATTTGCTGGTATTCACAGCAAACAAGTGAAGTAAAAAGAAAAAAAAAAGTTTGTTAGCTCGGGCGTTTGTTAGCTCGGGCGTTGCTAAGTCGCAACTAGCAAACTACTATTTAATTTAGTTTTAGTAGTCTTTGACTTCTTTTCTCTATGTTAAAATTGATCATTGTATTATGAAAATAACCAACACCATAGTGAAGGGGTTATTTTTAACATGGTGCTACATGAAAAGATGCTTACTCAGTTTGTCTTCCGCTGGCTCCATGTCTTCCCATTTGCTACGTGAAGGCACCTGTATCTCAGACTGAAATAATTAACAGACTCTGTGAAAAGGCACTGCACTACCATCACTTCACCCCATTTTCATTTTCAACTAATAACCACAATTAATGGTACTGCTTTTTGAAAACGGTTGTGCTTACCTTTAGATTCAATTCTACGCTTAAAATATTTCAAGATACAAATAAGAATACATGAGCATATGAAAGAAAAAACAAGGTCCAACAAAGGGAACTTTACATCGTGCAGGACCTAATTGGACGTGAGGGGCTTTTCAGTTTAAAGAATGAAGTGGGTGGCTTCTTTCAAAATAGCAAAGACGGAAGTTATTGTAAAAGAACTACCTCTCTAGAATCTCTCTAGAATCCCCCATGTTCTCTATTGCGCCCTTCTACGGCACAGGACAAGTTAGCGAAGTACAAATATATTGGGGAGCTATCCGCTCACCAGATGTAATTTAATTGTCTTTAATTGCTTTTGTGTGTGTACAGAAGTGCAATTAATTCTTTCAATTAATTAAGTACGTTTTCTCCTCCTCTTGTAATAAGCCCTCCACAAAAAAAAAGAATGAAGTGACCACTGGAAGATAGTTTCATAGCGCTTTGAAGGTATTTTGGTATATAGGATATATACTTTATGCAGTCCTCAGTCAGTTCTTACTTTGTACACTGGACCTCATCATTTCATTCACCCGAGAGTTTATTCTAACAGGTCATTCCGCTTAGAATAGTCCCTGTGCAACAATCCCATTTCATACTTTTCAGTAGAATTCGTTTCCATTTGGCAATTGCTTGTTTTTCTTTCAACAATCCGCGCATCTTCTCTATAATTTGCAGCATTATATTGATCATTGCATATTTTGAAGTTCAATAACCAATATTTTTCTACAGTTATTAAGACAGCCTAAAAGTCTTCAAGCCTTATGGCTCACCTTTAGGCTATATTCTCATCACCTGCCGCACTGTAATTTTACAGCTGTATAAACACTGTTTCACCAAATATTTTCTTAATGGAAGGTTATATAAATTATGACGGTTTTCCGTTACAAAGATTGCATGATCAAACGGTGCTATTTTCAGTCCTTTGACAAAGAGAACAGCACACGTTGTAATGAGTGGCATCAATACTCTTTATCAACTATGATTAAACAGGTTTCAACATCAGTTGAATATGGATGAACTTGCCACTTATCAATTGATGTTACAAATATTTTCACATCTGCTTTTTGGTTTTGTTGACTTTGAACTGTTTTTATTTCAGGTCATGACAAATTGGAATAATTTTGTTGTCATTAACTTGATTTAAACAATCATTGCATTTTTGGCAACCTTTTTAGATTGCTTTATTTTTCAATGTACTTTTTTTCAATGTAATTTTCATTAAGAGAATTATTTTGCCATTTTGTTGTTGTTGTTTTTTTCACTCAGTCAAGTGGAATGCTAGTTACAATCATACCTTCCTGTGTAAATCTTGTCCAATGATCTGTTATCACTGAAATACAAATTGTTTTGCGTTAGTTTTTACCTCTTCTTCCTCCAGCTGTTCCTGTGTTTCCATTTGTCCTGCAGGAGCTTCCGTGGCAGCAGCAGCCACAGATGTGTCATCAGCTGCCTCCATCTCAACCTTTGTGAAAATCAATATCACAATCCTTAGCATGACAAATGCATTCGGTCCAAAGGGAATCTTAAAGAAAAATGAAAACTTAAGAGAAGTGCTCTCTGGTTAACAGTATTTTATATAACCTGTCAAAACCACAGCGAAGGCCATTTTACCTCTTGAAGACTGACGTTTTGACAGTTGTATTTTTTAAAATAATGTTAGTGAGAAAGCATTTCCTTAAAGTTTTTACTCTGATTAATCCTGGCTGAAGCCCTTTTGCTATTTTCAAGCAGAATTAAATCCACCGAATAGCAAAACAAAGGCAACTTCTGAAAAGAATTCATAAAATTGCAACTGCCACGGCAAGCATGAAATAAAAAGAATAACAACATTAAATTCTTAAATTATCACTGTAGCCAATAATGATGATAATGATAAAGATGATGGCAATGATGACCTTCTAATAATTGTGAACATTGACATCACCTAGGTACATTGCACAGGTTTTTTCTCTAAACCAAGCTCAGGAAGTTATGTTATTTTAATGGCAGTTGTGTTAACTTTTTGGCATCAAAGTTTGTTTGAGAACAAAACATGCCCAGCAGCATTCAAGCAGGGGTGAACAGCATACCTCAGTAATGACAGCATCTTGTAATAGTGATCGTACATCAAGCCTCAGATGATGAACTGGTGTCTCTTCCCACGCTGCAACCATCTGATAAATCAATTAATAAATGAATGAACAAACTAATAAATAACCCTAACCCAACTAAGTTACACAGCTTTGGTGATGGGACAGAACACTGACAACACCAAAGAAGAAGCAAAAAAAGAAATAAACCTTGTTGATGTCCTCAAAGGTGCGATTGTGACTGTTCCGTTTAGCACAGGCATGCGCATCAGCCATTAATTCGGCTACATAAACCTGTTCAAAGTAAAAATTGTGCCATCCAGTGTTAACAAAGAATATTTAATTTCACAATGGAATATTCATCTTAGAATAGGTCAATTTTGTAAAACTCAATCTTAGCTCCCAGGCTTAGGAGAATAAAACAAAAGAAATTAATTATTCTTCCTCAAATTTGATGTGAATTCTTTTGTTTTATTCCCCAAGGCCTCAGAGCCAAGTTACAATTCTAATATACCGAAATTGGCAAATTAAACTGCATCTCAAGAATACAATAGTGCCACTTGCCTCAAAACCTTTCTGTTTTGCATGACTCCAATATTTGTCAAAATGTTCAACCTGTAGATTTAGAACAAAGCCATATTGATGCCGACTGCTGTTATGTCTGGTACCTTATTTTTTACAGTATCTGTAACGGCATAATGTCATGCTCAGGCAATCAAGTTCAGATAACATTTCCAGCCTCACCTTGTCATGAATAGCATCCACAATGACGACAGGAAAGAAACCATCCTCCAGTGTTTTAGTAAAAGATTTAAACAAACTTGCTCTGTAGGCTTCCTCCATCTCTTCTTCATATACATACTCGGTTACCTGAAGGAAAAAAAGAAACGATTTACAGAGGTTTAGTACTGTCACACCTAGCCTTTAGAATCCCTGTGATTTGCTGTTCAAAATGGTCATCCACATCTTTAATAATGATTAGAAAGTGGCTGCGTGACTGTGGACTGCATTTGTAGTAAGTGAATTTCTTTTATACTTTCACAAATTTGAGAGTTTTGCTCAATAGTTGATACATGTAGCTGTTAACTTACTTTCTTCTTTATTTTCTTTCCAGTGTCAGGGTCTTGTTCTGATTTCTCAACTTCCATCAAAAAGTAATCATCCAAAGCTAAGATTCGTGGAGCATGTGCTCCATAGCTCACTTCTTTGTCCTGATGGGAAACAGAAAAGTCCTTCATGTACTTCACATCTTAACGCATTTTCATCTATAGATTGTAGCAAGACAAAATTACCCTGTACTTTGCTCAAAATTTACTCATGTGCCTCACCTTAATAAGCCTGGCTACATGTGTTTTACCACTCCCTGGAGGGCCTCTAAGAATGATAACAATCTGCAATTCAAAGAACAACATGGTCAGCTTAACAACTCTCTGAGAAAAACCCTACATGTACCAATAATGGATTTGCTTTGTAGTGAAGGCCTTACAATTAATATTCATTCCTCTAGAAATAATCTACAACACTGAAGAACACTACCTTATTATAATAACCATTAATATCACTGGATAATTGTCATAAATACCTTCAGGAATAAACCAATCTGGTAAATACATGTAATATCCTGTGGTTGATTATATTCTTATCAGAAGAAGACAGTGGTGAGACTTACCCTATCAGGTCTAGAATCCCGTCCTGGAGAGTCCAGAATACTTTCAACAGGAACAGTCTCTGGCTTTTTCTCCACTCGTGGTGTCTCACTTGGATGTCTTCCCTCTTCGGGGTGGGGAGGGTAAGAAGTAGGGTCACGTGGAGGATAGTCCTCAGAGTAGGGAGGTCGATCCCTGAAGTAATCATCAAATGGGGGTCTTCTGTCTAGTGGACGCTCCTCATAAAATCTGCTTGCATCAAGAAATTTAACCACCAGTTGATAATTAGATGGAACATACTTGATTATTTTATTTAGTCTCACTATTTTTGCAAGGTGAAATTTATGGTATAATCGAACAGCTACTTTAAGTTACCTATCTTCTCGACCTCTTCTGTCATCTCTTTCTCGTTCTATAGGGTGGTCAGGGGGTAAATGATCTGGGTGGTCCCTGTAGGGTGGGGGCGATCTTCTCCATTGATCATCTGGGTATGGAGGTTCTCTGAGTCTCTCCTCTCCAGGTGGTCTTCTCCCTGCAAAAAAATTCAGAAATGACCAACAATTTGTTAACTAGTACACCATAAACTAAGAATACACTACCCATCTGTTATTTCAGTCCAATTTGGTCAAGTCTTTCCATCTCAGAACAAAAGGAATAATTATTGGAAACTGCCTACAGGGTGTATGCAACCTGTGCTTTCGAACTTGAAGTTCAACATTTCACACAAGACTTGATCAAAAAGTTGAACATTATTCTGATTGAGTAAATGATGTCCCAAAACAGTCTTTCACAGAAACCCACCAGAAAAAAGGAAAACAAGGTTAGAAAAAAGAATGGAACTAAACTGGAACAACTTAGTGAGCCCATGGAAATTTGACACACAACTTGACGTTGACACACTAAAAAGGAAACAAAAGAGAATAACCACATGTATTGACATAGTGTGTTGATTGTTGTCACTTGTAAAGAGAGTTGATATACCTAAAAAGTTTTCATTCAACTATTGTTGAATAAATACACCTTTCTTGTCATGATTTTTGTGGCAAAGCCAACAAAGAGAAAAATTCTGAGGGTTGCCAGTAAAAGTTGTGGCTATAGTTATGTTAATGTATCAAATATTTCTGTAATATAAAGGTAGCCATTAACACCTGGATGAAGCTTTGATTGGATTAAAAACATTTGGCTAACTTTCATTATAGACACATTCAACAACACACCAAATAATTTTACAACAAGGGTAACACAAGCTAATGGCAAGCTGAAAAGTACTCACAGTCTCTTCTATCCCAGTCATGAGGTGGTGGCCTCCCTCGCTCATCAAAGAAATCTGCTTCACATGGAGGAGGTGGCAAAGGATGACCAAACCGATCAAATTTCTCAGGAGGTGGAGGCCTGCCTCTGAAGTCTGATCCTGGGGGGGACCGTCCCCGTCTGTAATGTTCTGTTGGTGGCCATGGGGGTGGCGATATTGGTCTCCCTCTTTCATCCTCATGGAATGGTGGTCTTGCCCTTCTACCTCTCAATGGGGGAGAAAAAGGTCTACCAGGTGGGCCATGTTCTCTTGACCAGCCAAACTCATCCATCTCTTCTCGAGGAAATGGGGGCCATCTTCCTCTTGCATCCCTTGGAGGAGGTGACCAACGATCCCTACCTCCCCTGGGTGGAAATGGAAAATCTCTTTCATCTCTTGGAAATGGTGGTCGATCCCAATCATCTCTAGAGAAATGTGGCCAATCTCTTTCATTTCTATGGAAAGGTGGCCAGTCACGCTCATCTCTTGGATGACGTGGATGGTCTCGTTCATCTCTTGGGAAAGGTGGCCTTTCCCGATCATCTCTTGGGTAAGGTGGCTGAACTCTGGCATCTCTAGGGATGGGTGGCCGGTCCCGTTCATCTCTAGGGATGGGTGGTCGCTCCTGTTCATCCTTAGGGATGGGTGGTCGGTCCCATCCATCTCTTGGGAAAGGTGGTCTGTCCTGTTCGTCTCTTGGGAAGGGTGGTCTGTCCTGTTCATCTCTTGGGAAAGGTGGTCTGTTCTGTTCATCTCTTGGGAAAGGTGGTCTGTTCTGTTCATCTCTTGGGAAAGGTGGTCTGTCCTGTTCATCTCTTGGGAAAGCTGGTCTGTCCTGTTCATCTCTTGGGAAAGCTGGTCTGTCCTGTTCATCTCTTGGGAAAGGTGGTCTGTTCTGTTCATCTCTTGGGAAAGGTGGTCTGTCCTGTTCATCTCTTGAGAACGGTGGTCGGTCCCATACACCTCGTGGGAAGGGCGGTTGGTCACGTTCATCTCTTGGGAAAGGTGGCCGATCTTGGTCATCCCTAGGAATAGGTTGTTTCTCCTGCTCTCCTCTTAGAAATGGTGGTCTGTCCCTCTCTTCCTTTTGTACTGGAACCTTGTTTGATGGTTCTTTTTGCGCTTGGTCTTCCTGTTTACCAGACTCTGGTTCAACTCGTGGAATGGGAGGCTTTCTGTCCCAGTCATCCTTTGAGACTGGGGATCTTGCACCTTGCTGATTCAACCAAGGGGGCCTTCTATCTTGTTCATCTGGCGGCAAAGGAAGCCTTCTGTCTCTCCCAGGCCTAGGGGCCAAAGGCCCAAAATCACTTTCATCTCTTGGAAAAGGTGGTCTTGGTCCCCTTTCAAACCTGTCAAATGGAGGTCTCCACTCTCTTCGGTTCCATACTTCATCATGACGCTCACCCTCTCTTGGCACTGGTGGCCTCCCATCTCTTTCCTGAGGTAGTTGCTCTCCTTCCCATCTGGATAACCTGTCTCTAGGTGGTGGCCAATGTGACTCATGGGAGGTCTTTTCTCTATCCCAAGGAGGGGCTGTACTGGCATGTTCTCCCTGATGATGTGGGGGCCTATCCCAGTGAAGGTCATGGTGAGAAGTTTGTTGCCATTCTTCAGTTTGCGTGTCACTTTGATCAGGAACAGCAACTTCTCCTTCTTTGGCCATCTCTCCTTCTTTATAGTGTTCATCCTCAACCTCCATGTAGTCCTCTCCAGATACCTTCAAGAACAAAGTTAGATAATACATTTATACAATTCTGAGAATTTTGCTTTATCTTAAATTGAGCTCTTTTCAATCTTCTGCATTTTTATGAGTTTCAAAATAAAAATAAAAACTATTGGCTAAAAAAGGGAACAATGTAATAAATAAGAATTATAACTAGTAGAAGGGGTGCTTGATTGTCAATATGGAACTACATGTACAAGAGTGCAATGTTTTTGTGGCAGAGTACATAAAAACTAAAGGGGGCAAGAAATAACAGTTGCAACGCTTAAAGTTGTGTGAATAACTGCTATGACCATATTCATTCCCTGACCCGAAAGTTAAAAATGATAAAAATTAAACTACATGTGCCTTGTATGTTGTTACAATACTTTAAAAAGTAAACAAACTAATTATGCTTTTAGTTTCTCTTAATTAAATTCAATTAAATTAAATAACAAAAATGTCTTAACCCTTTCATCATTGTGAACACTTCCCTAGCAGGGTTTTCAGGGCCAATGGTAACAAATCATGAAACAAATTTAATGTAAATTGTAGATAAAAATAACATGGTCAGAAATCCCAACTGGCAATAGGCAGACCAGTTGGCTATTTACAAATATTACCTCATAGCTGTTGTCCTGAAAACTACTGGCTTGGTTACTATTGTCTTGGTTTGTGTCATTGTCCTTCCTCTCTCCAACTGCTTTTAACATGATCATAGAATGAATTAATATTTTAGACTCTGGAACTTAAGGAATTAAACTGTGATTTTGGTCCAACCTAAATATTTTTCTTCATAAATCCTATGATTGAAATCTGCGGAGGGAATTTAAACGTTTCAATATCGTTATGGTAGTCATTAAGCCCGACATAAGAGAACAAAAATAGTATAAACCAATGCCCTCAAATGACTGTTGCATTCGTTCGCAACAGTCTGGCACTTAATCAAAGCATTATCAGACTGAATTGTTTGAGGAGTCAAACAACAGCAACAACAAGAACAAAAATTAGAACAGTTCAACTCAATCTAAATTAGCCTCACACTATTTTTTCTCTTGGATTACACTGTTTTTCCTTCAAAGTGCCTAAATTTTGTTGTTTGCATTTGCTCGCCATAATTCCCTGCCCTCGAATTAGCATTGGAACCAAACACTAAAAATTCAAAGAGCGCTATAACAGCACTGTCCATCAAGTACCCTAGTACGCTCTCAGTTGTTTGTGTTAAGGGACAGACATAAATTAACTGACCTGTGTCAGTCGTATCTCCTGTTTTTGATGGCACCACTGGTAGTTCACCATCTCCAATACCAGGAATCTGATCTCCTCTTCCTGAAAATGCCATACAACTATTGCCATGTGACTCAGACTCCTCTGGAAAATCTCCTACAATCACCAAAAATCACCACCCAATTAAATCATTATACAATAGGCCAAGAACAGTATACCCACATTAATCAACCAATACTGCCCACAAGGCTACTTCATGTACAACCTAGCCCAGGCACAACTTAACAAGCCTGTTATATCAGACTAACATGTTAGTCAAAAGAAATCACCATGTAAACTGGGGCCCAAAATACATTATACACAACACTAGCCAAAGGTCCTTAATTTAGGCCACATAGAACATCCACTCTTCAAAAAATCTACCATCTGCACTTCATATATCTATCATGGTATTGATGAAAGAAGAAACCAATGATGTTTACTTTGTTCACAGACAAGTGGTTATACCTTGGAATTGAGATTCCTCTCGATATTCTTCAATTAACGATTCTGGACTGTGATCAAATATGCACTCACTTTTTGGACACCTGTGAATAGGTTATAACACATACATGTAGGTGATCATAGCTTAAATGTGTTTCTTTGCAGATTTAATTCAGCCTTTAAGGCCTTGATGCAAAACTAATTAAATTATCGTTGACGCTGAATTACATGTAGAGTTATTAAGAATACCACTGGGAATGAAAGAAAAATGCATTTAATGCTATTTACAGAATTAAGTTTGAGTCAAATTTCTTTTAAGTGCTACAATAACTGACATACCTTGAACCAAACTTGCAAGGAGGGTGTTGAAAACGACAACTGGTTCCAAATCGACAATTAGGAAAAAATTTACAAGGTTGCTTTGCACCTTTTTGTTTTAAATTTCTCTCAGTGGAAACTGAAAAGGAGAAATTAGGACTAATTACGTTACCAATACTGATTAACAATGCATTTATAAACAAGAAAAAATAAATAATAATGTTTCCATGTCCTCATGATGCTATTGTCAAGGTTCATGTATTTACCGTATTACTGTCAAGAAACTAAATTACACAAATACTTTTCCGTAAACTCCTTCAGGTTTTATGACCACACATCACTGAGAACAAATACTTTTAATTAGTTATCTGTGTGCACTCGGAGGAAAATGTCAGAGGTTTTTCAACTACTTATTTCTTTTAACCAGTAAATTTTATAGAAATCCAAGCGTTTTTAGGCAGTAATAAGTGGCGCTACAGCTAGTAAATTTTACCAGTTACTGCCTGAAAAGGAGAACACTGTTTTCATCCAACATAAAAAAATCTCTCTGATGCAGTCAAACAAGGAGAAATCCCAATAACAGAGTGTAAACTTGAATGGATTACTGAGGTAATGTGAAGTTAAGATGGAAGAAAGTTGACCAAGTCATTTTGTGTGGGCTTATTTATGGGCCAAGACCAGCCACAAACTTTCAACTTTTTTGATTCTTACATTTCTTGAGTCTCTCATTTAGTTTACCAAAACTTCCAAAACGTTATTCAGCCACATCCAAAGTTACCACTGAAACAAAAGTCACACTACCTGTGTTTCGATCTGCTGCAGTGCTATTTTTCTCTTGAGCTGGCGTACCCTGAGTCCCATGGCTGTACTGTAACGACCTTGAGTCACCTGTCCCAGACTCAGCCTTAGTTGTACTAATAACAGCACTTGATGACTTGCTTGCAGTTGATTCTGATTTCTCAGGAACATCTGATGCGGAAGTCTGCTTCAAGTGTTTCCCAAGCTGCTGAAGCTGCTGAAGCTGTTGGAGTTGTTCTTGTTGTCGTCGTAGCAGCTCTAGCTCCTTGAGAGGATCCAGCTTGAGTGGACTCAAGGTAACCGGAGCAGAAGATACATTTCTGTTAGAAAAGGATTCAAAATCATTTCTCAATGTTACTTTTCCAGGTAAGAGTTCAAGGTAAGCCTCCTGTCATATTGAGAAGAAATTTAAAACAGTGTTCTGCATTTTGCAGTTCAAGCTTCACTTGCACAATGTTATACAATCATGTAGTTTCTGTGTCGACAGATACAACATTTATTATGTGACTATCCAAATGAAAGCTGTTGCAAAGCACACAACTCTCTGTTCATGTAGTATTTATATCGTTATATAGGTATTTATATGTATAGTCATGTACCTGTTAGACTGCTGAACATTCATCTTTCATTCAGTAAATTATATTTAGGCACGCACTCTACAATTCTGCGTTAATGTTGGGTGCATGTGAGTTGCTTTTAATTTAGATTATTGTAATGTTAACCATGTTATTTGAGATGCATTATCAAGTAGTGCTTTTGTGTAACACAAAAATAATCTCCCAATATCATAAAAGGAAAACCTCTTCATCTTATAAATACATACCTTTCACTTTTATCCCACTCTACTGACAATTTTGTGGATGTTTCAGCTGAAACATACGAAAATAACCAATTTATAATCTAACCAGAAAATAAACAAAAAGCAATGAATTTAAAGTGGGAAAAAACTTCTGAAATGCTGGTTTCTTACTTATATACAAGGAAAAAAAGTCACATTCTAGAGATTTAGACATGCAAGTAGATATAAACCAACTGTTAACTACAATTTAATCTAAATTGTAGTTAATGCTTATCAATGAACACTTAATAGACTTGGTTTTCCCTGTAAAGAGCAAGACAGTTGAAAACAATAACTAATTACAGGTGCACAGTCCAAGAGTAGCTAAAAATACTCCAGTGCTTTTTTTAACCTTGCAAAAAAGGAGAATTGCCCACAGTTCTAAATAATTATCTGGTTGCCAACACTCAACCCACCAATGACTGATGACAAACTTTACACGAGTCTTTCAGCCAATACCATCATGGCTATACTGAGCAATCACGTTCAACGGACCAGAC